TGATGGTTGAGATGCTTGTTGATTTCCTACTTGACAGACTTTAACAGAAAGTGCCATTTATTAATTGATTCGCCCACTGGTTGTCGTCTCAGAGGCTGCGTTTGGTGCGTGATGTTATTCACATCAGCTTTTTAAAGCTTCGGTGAACCACCAGCTGCAGGCGGCTCCTCCCGCAGAGCTTCATTCCAGATAAATCAGCATTTACAGCACAACTTTTGTAAAAGGTTATCAAGCTCCACTGTTGCCCCCAGAGGATCGCCGACCTGTAGGTACAGCAGAAATGTGTGAAGTGTGCAAGTCCTTCCAGCGACCCTCAACTTTTCAACTCTGGGGATTTATTAAAAAGCTTCAAGCGTGTATTTTATAGGAATGCCACTGTAGAATAGTTTAAGTCTTTGGTTTTCAACTGACATCCCCTCAGTGGTGTCAAATGCAACATTGAAAATGGAAATCAAGCGTCTCAAATAACTGACTCCAGTGACTGAGTTGAATATTCTGAAGGAGTCTCACTTTGATGATGTGTGTTGATAGGAAAAAATAAATCTTCTCCGGAGCCTGATTCAAAGGCAAAATTGAATGAGACTGACACAGATTCAGATCTGCACAGAGAAAAGGAAAATACATTTTCACTTGCTACACCATCAACAACTGCTGATTCAAAATGACTGTGAAGTCATTTTCAATAAGTCAAAGGTTTCTCCATGTGATAGCTGATACAGAGCAACATCCAGCTCACTACTGGCATTTTCTGGGTCCTCAAACACGTGAGGGGGGACCAGGCCTCCCTCAGCCGATCAGACTGCAGATAATCCTGCGGATAGGGGGCGGGGGGATTCCCAGGAGGGCTCATTAGATTTCTTGTAGTGTTGGTTGAGAGACATTGGATTTGATGTTATATGCTGTTGGGGTGACTGGAAAGGTTTTTGGGGCAGCCGCATCACTCCTTGGGAAAAAAAAGATATTATTTATAGCTAGTGCTCGGCAATAATTCAATATTACTGTCAGTGGAATCACATCATGCTGTTATCATTTTGTAAAACATCCTATGAAGTGTGATTAGTTGCTTAAATGTTTGGCCAAGGCCTTTCCACCAATACTGTGAGCACATGTGAATAGTTGATAAGCTGATACATCCATTCAACGGATGAATGCCAGTGAAAGCTGACATTGGGTGTGAGGAGGGGTTAACCCTGATCAACCACTCACACACGGTGTGAAAATACAGACCTCACACAGAGAGACCTCAGCCAAACCAGGATTCAAAGCAAGAATGTTGTTGCTAAACAGCGTTTGTCGTGGCAGTGGTGGTGCAGCTCAGGGTTCTGTCATCAAATCATTGCAGGTCACTTTTACAGTTTTCAGCTGCAAACAGCATTAACACAGACCAAACAAACTAATGTCTCCAAACAGGCAGGTTTACAACAGTCAATGGTCTATCCATCCATCCATCCATCTAGCCATCCATCCATCCAAACTTTGTTCCAAACTTACTCTACAACAGCTGTTATGTGTCTGAGAGCCGAGCTCGTGAGGAGGAATCACTCTTTGAAATCTTCCCTCTTTGATCAGTGATAATTTGAGCTGCAGCGCTCACTCCCCTGCTGAGACAATATGCAGTCGACAACAAACTGCATCTTCAATGTTTTCCATCTGGAGAATGACTCTAATCTCACCCAACGTTTGTAATGATGGAAAGTGTCGAGTTACCACAGTTAATTTCTTTTGGCACCAAAAATGAAGTCCTCTGGATGTTATATAGTCTGGTGCTTGAGTGCAGTGAACAAAATTAGTTGCCCAGCTTTGATGAAACTGTAACGGAGAGCTGATGCAACTGGTTAGCACTTGGCCCAAGGCCCTGTATCATTCACTATGGTAAACATGATTCACCCGGTTTGTTTGTTTCTTTGTTGTCTTGCCTTAAGTGTCTTCCTCTGTGGTGAGACTCTCTCTTGGGTTTTCTCAGGACAAGAAAAAGACCTCATTCCTTGATTTGTTTGCTACGGTCCAAAACTTTAAAGCAAATAGGGCTATTCACACACACACACACACACACACACACACACACACACACACAGAGCCCATTCCCCATGTAAAGGTACATTAACTAGTGTGTATACTTTAATTACATTTTTAATTGAATTTCTCTAGACCACACAAAAAAGCACATTATCATCTTCCAGTTTTTGTTTCTCACTATATGTCAGAAACATTACAGAACAGTACAATGATGCAATTTGCAACAAAGTACCTCTGTTATCTACAAGTACAATATATAATAATACACCAGTGACAGAAAACACCATAACCATGACCAAATAAAACCATAACCGTGACACACTGTAAGAGTTGATCTTAACATTTTTAAAGTGTCTATATG